GATACCAAAACCCACAGGTGCTCAAGGTCCTTATATAAAATGGCACAGTATTTGCATAGAACCTGTGCACCTCCTCCTATGTTCTTTAAATCCTCTCTGGGTGGTTTGTAATACCTAATACCCTATGGATGGTGTATAGGTTTTGGTTATACTGTATTATTTAGGAAGTAATAACAAGAAAAAAAGTCTGACATGTTCAGCACAAATACTATATTTTTCCCAAAGATTTTCAATCAGCAGTTGGTTGGATGTTCAGATGTAGAACCAGGGATACGGAGGGCTGAATGTGCATAAATGTTGGAGGAAGAGCAGAGTCTCAATAAGGCAGTGATCGAATGAATGGGTAATGACGAGTAAACAAAGCCTCTTGCAACCCATCAGAGCCATGACTGAAGTCATGTCCCAGAGCCCTCTCTGTCCAGCTGCATTGCCTGGAGCTGGTATCAGTAGACGGTTAGGATCCAGGATGGGCCCATGGCAGGGAACAGTGGCAGTGGGTGTTGAAGCACATGTGTACTGGGTTGAGCTCTAGGTTAGCTGCAGAGTGGAAGGGAGGCCTGCCTGACTGTCCAAGAGAGCTCACGTCTGTGTCTTGCTTCGGGCCGCACTGCCAGGAGCAGGCCAATGCTGGGCATTTGGAGTGCGATGCTTTGGTCCAACCTGTCCTCTTGTCTATTGAGGGACTGCTAGGCTGGGTAATGGGGGCTGGAGTACCACTGGCTGTGCCTCATTCCAGGGAGGGTGGTGACAGGGCCAGGCAGAGCGTGTCCTTTGTATTCCCAGGAGTGGAGCTGAGGATGTGGTTGGTGTAGACCTGCACAGGAGGGGCTAGTTATTCCCCACCTTAGGGGAAGGTAAAGGCTCAGTGGCTATGAGGTGAAAGGTGGAGGAATCTGACCCTTCAGAAGCTCAGAAGAGCTGAGGAGAGCTTTGAGCAATAGATTTGCTTTCCCTTTCTGTGCACCAAAGCAGGATGTGCCTCCAGGGTGGGTTGGGGATATCCCACTAGGGAAACCATGGGGAGTGGCTGGGCTGTGCAAGGCCACTTCCCCAGAGCTGAGTCAGCACTTAGCAACACTCCCTCCAAAGCCACAGTGCCTAGGGCCTGGTCTCCTCTGATGGGCACTAGAGGACCCCAAACTCCCATCCCAGGATGGCCCAGGCCTCTGGCTGGAGCTACAGTTCCTATCACCTCCTTACTCCTAACCACCTGTTGGTCTCCTCACCCCCAAATCTTTCTCTTTTAGGAGCTTAGGGTGACTCAGTGTCACATGGGCCCATGACACCAAAGACTCAGAACAACCCATTGAGTGAGTTCTTGCTGGCCTCAGCCTACCGCTTGGCCTGTCTCATTTGCTCAAGCTCGGGGACCTCAAAGACCCAGGATCGCCCCCACCCTGGACTGCTGGGTGCCACAGCACCTTATCACTGGGATAGTGGGACAAGTAGAGTGGGGCCAGTTGACACCCCAGCTCTCTTGGGCCCCTCCTCTGCTGGATATTGAAGATGTTCTGTCAGAAGCCACAAAACCCCATGCCACGCCCTGGGTGTGAGGCCTAGGAAGCAGATGGCATTGAGAGACTTGCCACTTTCTGGGGTGCAGAGCCAAGCAGGATCCTGGGGGATCCCAGGCTGACCTAGGAAGGGTGCATATGTATGGCAGTGCCATGCATCAGTTCTCACTAAGTGTCCCCACTGCCTCCTCCTTTATAGCCCTTCCTGCCAAGCCGTGCTGGGAAAGGGGTAGATAATGGGATGGTGGGGAATCCCCTGCCTGTAGCTATGATGGCCTTGGTTCCCCTGGGTGGCCACAGGGATCCACAGCATGCATCTCAGTGTGTCCTGGGCAGCTGTGGTTTCCCCTCTGCTCTCTGCTGAGTGCTTCAGTTGGGAAACCACAACTTGCTGAGCTTCCTGACCTAGGGATTCCTGTTATATCGAAACTCTGGATATCTGGTCCCCAGGCTCTCACCCAGTTCTGACCCTTGATGACCCCTCCCCCTTTTTGTTGTTGAGTAGTACATGCCTTATTTTCATGTGTGTTCTCACCCTAGGGCAGTGGATTTCAGACTGGGCCAGTTTTGCCTCCCAGGGGGCACATCGGGCTGTCTCAAGACCATTTGGGTTGTCAAAACTGGGGTGGAGCTGGATGTGGTGGCAATGGCCTATAATCCCAGTACTATGGGAGGCTGAGGCAGAAGGATCACAAATTTCACCCTAGCCAGAGCAATTTAGTGACTCAGTGAGATCCTTTCTCAAACATTTAAAAAAGGGGTGGGGATGTAGCTCAGTGGCCCTGAGTTCCATCCCCTGTGATGATGATGATGATGACAACGACGATGACAGAACAACAGGGATGGATGCAGCGGGTAATGGCCAGAGATGCTGTGCTCATTACTATGCACAGGGCGCCCCCACCCCGGTTACTTGGCACAAAGCATCGACTGTGTCAGGACCTGGTCTGGGGCTGCACAAGACTTGTGGCAGCAGCCAGGCTCTCCCCTCCCTTCTCTGCGTGCCCCCAACAGTTGGTGGCCACCAGCAGTGGTGGGGTGAGCAGAAGGAGCATCAGAGTGGGCACCAGCCGAGCTCAGCCCAGCGCCACCGGGGGTGTGAACCCGCCGAGTGGCCTTACTTCAGGGAGCCTGATCTCTCATCCGGGGGATGACAGTGCCACCCTGCTTATCCCTTCCGGCAATGTGAGACCCCAGTGCCCTGGGAGCTGGGCTGCTGCCTCGCTGCCTGCCCTGGTGGCAGAGACCAGGAGTTTCCTGGGATCTCATGGAAACTGGCTTTAATTTTCTTCTGTGCCCAATGTGACTGGCACAGACCCAAGGAGCATTTAGCCAAAGAGAAGTTTCCTCCTGGTTTTGGCCCGGGAGCCCATGGCTGGCCCGGAGGGTCACTAAGGCATTCTAGGTCAGCAAACTTGACCTGACCATGGGCTGAGTCCTCCCTGTCATTTGTTTCTGTAAATAAAGGTGGACTTTGTTTTGTTTTGTTTTTACATTTACTAGTTTGTTTAAAGGCCACACCTGGAAGCAGCCAAGTGGAAGGTTTCAGGCCTGGCACACACCCACCCTCCAGCCAGCCCTGGTATTTTCTGTAAATAAAGTTCTATTGGGACACAACTAGGTCCATTTGTTTGCATATTGTCTTTGGCTGTTTTCTTCTAAGAAGACAGAGTTAAGTAGTTAAGTGACAAAGACTGTATCAGCCACGAAGATGAAAATATGTGCCCCTTGGCCCTTTGCAAAAGGGTTTGCTGGGACTGCTCAGGCCGTCCAGTGTCTGTTTAGAGGAGGGTGTGGCAGGAGGATGGGGGCCAGGGGAAGTCAACTTGCCTGGGGTCTGGTGGGGAGGTAGGAGTGCTAGCCCATCCTACAGGGTTTCCTGGGGCAGTCCTCTCTGGCTGTGGGCCGGCCAGCTCACTTGGGGTAGGCCCACCCCTGCGCCTGGCCCCACTGCCTGTCCCTGAGAACTTGGTGTCCTCTAGAGCTAGAGGACAAGCAGTGTGACTGCCCGGACATGTGAGGGGAACTTGAAGAGGTCGGGGTTGACTCAGCGCCATCTGCTTGGCATAAAATGAAGAGCAAGGGAGGAGGGGCCAGAGGGCACAGAAATCCTGTGCTGTGTGCTGAGATGAAGGTAGAAGGGGAGAAAATGGGGGGCCCGGGAAAGGCAGGGGGGAGATGTTGGCGTGAACTGCGCTGCGCACTGCTAGACAGAGTTGAGCCGATGCGGAGGAGGGTGAGGAAGCAGCGCATTCACTGTGCCCTGACTGAACTTCGCTGTGGGCAGAGTGGCCCTGGAATGAAGGTGCCTGGGACCTGTGCTGTCTGCAGGACTGGGAGGGAGGCAGCCCCTGAGACCCCAGTCTACTCCTCACCCACCAGCTGATCAAATTCCTCCCCCTCTCTCTCCCCACTTTGCCCAGCTCACCTGAGTTTAAGTTTGGAAGCTGGGCGTGGTGGCACAAGCTTGTAATCCCAGCGCTCTGGGAGGCTCAAGCTGTAGCCTCAGAAGATTGACCCAACCTAAACAATTTAGTGACTTAGTCACTACATTAGGCACTCTGGGGAGAGAGGTTTAGCCCCACACTGAACTTCAATTTAGCCCTTGCCGGGAGCCGCCCGGGTGGGATCTCAGTGCTCTCCTGGGCTCTCCCCCTGCTGTTCTTTGGATTTCAGGCTCATCACCGGAGTCCTGCAGGTCCCAGGGGGCTGTCATTTAGGGGCTAGTCCCTGCCTCTCTCCACCACTAATGATTAAGGAAATGAGAGGGGGTTTCTCAATCTAGATTCTCCCTAAGAGACCAGAGGCAGAACCTCAGCGGAGTTTAGAGGCCCATGGTGGCGTTAACGTGGGCGCAGGCCAGATGCTCGTTTGTGGGACACCCAGCGGGAGCTTCAAGGCTGGGGAGCTGCTTTCTGATTCAGGAAAGCTGGGCCACCCACGTTCACGTTCCTGTCAGTGCTGGGCAGCGCAGCGTTGCCTCCCCTCGGCCCGGCCTGTCATTCTTGGCTCACTGAAGGCTGCCACTCAGGCTGAGGCTGAGACGTCCCCAACTCCACAGGGTCAGACGGCAGGGAGAACTTCAGCAAGTCTCCAGGCTGGCTGCCTTGGATGCCTCCAGTACCTTCTTGTCCTTCATCCTCGTCCTTCAGGATGGTCTCCTTTGCTCTGGCCGCATCCCGGTTGGGGGAGGGACTGGGGGAGGCATTGTTCTTTAGGAGAAAGGCTGTTTCTCTCTCAGGTTTCAGGCAAAGTGTGCCTCTTGCTCCTGAACTCTTAACTAGATATGTAAAGCCACTCCTCCACCCTCGGAGCCTACGGATGAAGAAAGAGGCAGTGTTATAAAGTTGATCTGATCGCTGGCTTCTTTCTCGTTTTTTCATTTTGGTTGGAGGGCTGGGGTTTCAGTGACAGCCCCTTGGCAGGTGGGCTTTGGTGCTGAGTGGCCAGCCTGTTAACCCTGTCCCTCCTGCTCTCTGCTTGCAGCCCTGTGATCTCCCTGCTGTCACCTTCTCCACCCACTGGACTGGGACTTCAGATCTGACCCCAGACCTACCTGCCGCCTTGGGAGGGTCTACCTCCCCTCCGAGCCAGCAAGATGCCGATTCTCAAGCAGCTGGTGTCCAGCTCAGTGCACTCCAAGCGCCGTTCCCGAGTGGACCTCACAGCTGAGATGATCAGTGCTCCGCTGGGTGACTTCCGCCACACCATGCACGTGGGCCGGGCTGGGGACGCCTTTGGGGACACCTCCTTCCTCAACAGCAAGGCAGGTGAGCCTGACGGCGAGTCCCTGGATGAACAGGCCTCCTCCTCATCTTCCAAACGCAGCCTTCTGTCCCGGAAGTTCCGGGGTAGCAAGCGGTCACAGTCAGTGACCCGGGGGGACCGGGAGCAGAGAGATATGCTGGGTTCCCTTCGGGACTCAGCACTCTTCGTCAAGAACGCCATGTCCCTGCCGCAGCTCAATGAGAAAGAGGCCGCAGAGAAGGGCTCCAGCAAGCTGCCCAAGAGCCTGTCATCCAGCCCTGTGAAGAAGGCGGATGCTGGGGATGGCAGTGCAGAGGAGGTGGGTGCTGCGGAGCTGGGGCCCCGCCGGAATGGGGCCACAGGCCCCCACTCCCTGGACCCCCTCCTCGATGAGCAGGCCTTCGGGGACCTGACAGATCTGCCCGTTGTGCCCAAGGCCAGCTATGGTCTGAAGCATGCGGAATCCATCATGTCCTTCCACATTGATCTGGGGCCCTCCATGCTGGGCGATGTCCTCAGCATCATGGACAAGGAGGAGTGGGATCCTGAGGAGGATGGTGGCAGTTACCGTGTGGATGAGGACCCCGGTGGGGTCACCCAGGCTCCCCCTTCAGCTGAGGCAGCCCCGCCCCTGGCAAGGCCCTCCCACGCTCTGGAGGACGAGGGGTGGGCGGCAGCGGCCCCCAGCCCCAGCTCGGCCCGCAGTGTGGGCAGCCACACCACGAGGGACAGTAGTTCCCTCTCCAGCTGCACCTCAGGTGTCCTGGAGGAGCGCAGCCCAGCCTTCCGGGGACCGGACAGGGCACAGGCCGCTGTCCCGAGGCAGCCCGACAAGGAGTTCTCCTTCATGGACGAGGAGGAGGAGGAGGAAGACGAGATCCGCGTGTGAGGTGGTCAGAAAGTAGCTGGAGCTCCGAGCTGCGGTCTTCTCCCTGCTCCCACCCCACTGTGACCTTCGACCTTACTGCACAAGAGGCAGCCTAGGACCTCTTGGGTGAGGGGCTCAGAGGACTCGGGGAGCCGGCCTAGGTGCACACGCCTGCTCCCCACAGCAGCATGGGGCCAGGCTGTGTTCTCCAAGCAGGAATCCATTTTCCTCCTGGCCTCCTCTTTCTCTACCCTAGCCCCAAATGGCTGCCAGATGTTATCCTGAGTTCCTGTTGGGCACCCATGGCAGGTCAGCCGGAGACAGCTTACTCCATGGCTAGGACACTTGGCTCTCTGTCCCCTTCCTCTCCTGGTGTCCCTGCTGTGACCACTAGGGCCCCAAGCAGGTGTGCGTAGCAGGAGGAAGGGGGTGATCTCTCATCCCATCCCCTCCAGCTCCTTCCCTGGGAGATAGACGGGCAGGGGACCAGCTGTGAACCAGATAGCACACATAGCCCCTGGCAGGGGTGAGACAGGATGGTAATGGATGGGTTCCCAAGGAGGGACCCTTCCCAGAGGACACTAGGAACAGGGCCGGGGCCCCGCCCTATGGGTGTGTTTGTTCTTTATTATTATGTTGAAGTCCTTATAGAGCAATATTTGGAACAGTGTTAATAAATAGAATGGAATCCTTTTAGAAAACCTTTATACCAAGTCCCCTCCTCTTGGAAGTTACAGTGACTGTTAGCATACTCAAGTCTGGGCACCTCCTGCATCAAAGAAACCAGCCCAACCTGAACTGTGGTGGTGGGGGGGTGTTCTCGAGTGCCCCCTATAGCTTTTAACAGCTGCAGGAGGCCAGTGTGGATTTCTGGAAAATGATTATTAAAAAATAATATATCACGGGTGGAGGCTGTGTTTTGACTCCTTCGCCCTGTGTGGGACACTTCCCCTCCCTTTCCCAGACCCTTCCCCCACTGGGGAGGCCCAGGGGCCCAGGCAAGGGTTGCCAGATTTAGCAAAAAAAAAATACACAAAACAAAAACCAGAAAGCTGAATTAAATTTGAATTTCGGGTAAACACAAGATAATTTTTTTTAGTATTAGTATACCCTATGTAATATTTGGAACATTCTTATGCTAAAGAGTTGTTTTTCTGAAATTCAAGTTTTGCTCCTTCTCCTGTAACTATCCAGGGGATTGAGTAGAAGCTGGGGTGTGAGCCCCAGGGGTGACGCGGATTATCTTTCTGTCCTGGGAATAGGCTGACCGGCCTCTGCCTCTGCTTGGTCAGAGGGAGGAGGGGGAGAGAGAACTAACTACAGTACAAGGGGTCCCGGCCAGGAGTGGTGAGCCTGGCGGGACCCTGACTCTGAGACACTAACCTGGCTCCTGACTTGCGCTGCCGTTTCTGGAAGCTTAGCTCCCTCACTGGCAGAATCACAGGGCTGTGCTGCCCCATGAGTGGCCCTTGGCACCTGCCCAGGTCAGTTCCAGGCTCTAAACTGTATTTTTTCATGATATTGTTAAAGCAGCAAGGAAACATTAAAAAGCCCTCTAGCACATCTGGTGTCTGTCTCTGCTTTGGGGGAACTTCAGGGCAGGAGGGTGGTCAGAAAGCGGTTCCTGGGGCAGCCTGTGGTCACAGGGGCTTGAGTGGCTTCTCTCTTGGCCACTTGGGGCCATGTCCTGGAAAGACATGGCCTTGTCTATCCTTCTGCCTGCACAGGCCCTTTTGGCTCAGGAACGAATGTCCGCACTGCTGCTTAGCAGGTGGGTTTCTTGGCACTTGGTCACTGGGCCTCTTATCAAATGGGACTCCTGCCACCTTTCCAGGGATGTGGGGTTTGTACAGCCACACAGAGTGAGGGAGGCTGGGTGTTCGTATGCACGGGACCTGCCGCCTGGGACTCGACTCTGCACCCAGTGCTCAGAGAGGCTGGTACAAAGGGACCTCTATCCCCTTTTCTCCCCGCTCTCCATTAGACCTGGAGAATCCACTGAAGGGTGCCAAGTTCTCCCTTCAACTGCGCTGCTCAGTGAGGTAGACTCCTTCTGTATCTCCCTCTCCTAGACGAAGAAATGTACTCAGAGAGGCTGAGCCTCCCTCAAAGTCACAGAATTAATCAGAGCTCCAGTCAGAACGTCATTATTTCAAACCCCTGCCCTTTTCACCACTACCACCACGAGCTGGGTGTAGCACAGCTTTGGTGCCTTGGGAAATGAGGAAATCCACCCTGGGTGTGGGAACTGGGTGACCCCATCTGCCTGCTGCCTCAGCTCCCATCTCAATGCCTGCCCTTCCTCACGCCCACATTCCCTTGGCCCTGGACGGCTGTAAGAAGGGATTGTGGCCTGGGCAGGGCTGGCTCTTGGTGGCTGAGGACATGTGACTGAATTCTGGCAGAAACCATGCCCTTCTCCCCTGAGCATCTGCAGAGAAATTTGGGCTCCTCACTCATCTCCCTGGGAAGCAATTAGAGGGTAATTAAATGTCATCCAGGCTCCTCTGTCTCTAGACAGACTCATTAGAGCTAATGAAGGACTTGCTAAGGTGGAGTTACAAGAAGGGTGGTATAGTGGCGGGAGGGAGCAGGGCTGGGACACACAAGGGCTGGCTGGTAGGAGTAATGGGGTCCTTGGGGGCTGCAGCCTAGCTTGGGGTGACAGGAGAGGAAGACACTGTTCAGGTAAGGCCCAGGAAGGTGCAGCCAGACGTGGTGTAGCTCTGTCTCTGTCCCTGCCAACTGACCCAGGATTCTTGATGGGGCCGTAGGGAGACCTGGCTTGCGCCACAGCTTCCACAAGGTTACATTCTGGCGGCGGTTCTGTGGACCCAAAGAGTGAAGGGAGACAGGAGAAGCTAGCCTAGCCACAGAGCTCCCATCTTGGCTCAGGTGAGATCTCCCTGGTAGACTGGGACCAGTTATTGCCCTTCCTGAGCAGCAGGTTCAGTTTTTCCATCTTCAAAATTAGGCACTCATTCAGTCGTTTTCAACTTCATATCAGTTCTGTTTGCAATGAGATCGTACACCGGACCCTTGATAGACGGAGCGTGGGTTGGGCTTGGGGGCTCCCTCCTCATTCTCCTTGCATCCTCTTGGTCTCTGAAGTTCTCCTGAGAAACCCAGAGGCCTCCAGAGAGCGGGGTTCCTTTCTCGGGTGCTCTGTAAGGCCTCTTGACCCCGCACAGCTGGAAGCAGGCACCAGGAGCCACTTCTGGGACGTTCAATTCAGGTCTCAGCTAACATCTCCCCAGACCCGATAGGACCCAAGCCTGCTGCTAGGTGAAGAGTTAGCACGGGATGCTGCCCATCCCCAGCCCTCCCCCAGGCATCTCCCATCCCCCTTTCCTGGACGGGGGCGGGGGGGGGCTCATATTTATTGGATACACACTGTTCTGTCCCACTCATGTGCTGAGGGCTGTTAGCAGTTGTGACTTTCATGTGCCAGCTTCTGTGTTGGCCTTAATTCTCATAACAGTGCTGTGGGGTTGATGCTATGCCCTGTACCTCATTTTATAGACAGGCAGCTCAAGGGGAAGGAACTGGCCAGCCCCACGGGCCTAGTCAATGGGAGGCCAGATTGGGTCACCCATGGGCTCCAGAGCCCTTCCTAGCCACAAGGCCTCCCAGCCTGTGACCCACACACTGGGACCTCGAAAGGCCAGGTGGGTCCAGTTTCAGGACAGGGAGTGTAGCCCAGCCAGTGGGATATCCCTGCTTTACTCGGGCTGCAGCCCAAGAAAAAACTATTAGGTGAGGCATTGACAGCTCCAGGTTCTTCCTGCAGCAGCTGCTGGTTCAGTGAAGAACTACTGCCCTTTCTAGCACCTCTGTCTCTGCTGGGCTGGACCAGAGTTGCAGTTGGATCCTTTGTTTGCCAAGCCAGCAACTTAAGGCTGTGCTCCTGCTGGTGTCCAAGCAGGTCCTGCTTGCTCTTCATCTTTGATTCCATCTTCATGTAAGCCCTTCCTCTCTCTACAAAGGCTGCGTCTCACTCCCAGAAGAAAGTAGACAAAAGGGATGAGGATGTCAGAGAGTGAGGGATCCTTAGAACCCTCAAAACTTAGGGTTGATTCATATCTGCCCCCAAGTTAGAGATGGAAGGACTGAGGCTGGGAGAACAAGGGATTGCATGGAGCAGAGATTGCAAAATCCACTGGGCTGCCTTTGGCTCTGGCCAGGCAGGTGAGGGCAAGCTGGAGGGTGGATTTTATGCGTATGCGTCAGCAGCTGCTCCCAGAGCTGGGAGGGTTTTAGTTGTGAGGGTGGATGGGAGATGACTGAACTCAGGGAGGGAGGGAGGGAGGGAGGGAGGGAGGGCTTGGCCTCTCACCTGTGTGTGACACTCCCCACCCTTCCCCAGCTCACCTGGACCCTCCCGGGCAGCTTCCCTGGAGCCCCCATCTTCTGCATACCTGGGCAGGTGGCCTCCCAGACTCACCTGCAGTGGCAGTGGTGCCCTGTCCACAACTCATCCCTGGGCCCCTGACGCCCTGATTTAAGTTGCAGAAAAAGAAAGTTAGGAACACAACCAGGAGTGCATATCTATGCACTTCCTCTTTGCAGTCTCCCTTAGGCCCTGTGGCTTCCTGCCAACAGCCAGATGGGAAGCTGGGAAAAACATTTTGGGGCAGGGAGTGGAGTTTGCAGGCAGATGGATGGAGGTGGTTTGGCCTCTGAAACCTGGTGCCACAACTCACTGAGCTGCCATTCTCCGGAGAGAGACACTCCTGAGGAGAGACCCTCAGGAGGACATGGCTAAGGTGGCTGCCTCCCCTCAGCAAGAATCTAATCCCACAGTGACATGTTAAAAACAAAACAAAACACAAACCTGTCAAGGCAACAGGGCTCTGCTGAATTTTGTTCTTTTTTTTTGGTACTGGGGATCAAACTCAGGTCCTTGTGCTTGTGCAGCAGGTGGCGAAACCACTGAGCTAAATCCACGGCCCTGAATTCTGTTCTTTTATGCCGTACTTTGTTCCAAAAAGATTTGGAGGCAACTTACAAAAACACATAGAACACAATAGGATAAAAATAGATCAGAGAGAAAACAATGCTAGAACAGACGGTACAGTGAACCAAAAGGGAACACATAGGATTGTTCTCTGGGTGGGCCTACACGGTTCTCAGAGGTGGACTACAAACTGGACTCTGAGCTTCCTGTTAGTCAAAGCAAAGAGAGAAAGCTACCTGTTTCAACTCACAAGGTCAGTGAGGCCTTCGATAGCTCAGTTGATAGAGTGGAGGACTGTAGCAGATTCAACTCACAAGGTTAAGATGAACCCAGAAACAGCTCAACGCTTTCTGACACTTCTTGTTGGGACCTCTGAAGGGACAGGGAGGGTGCCCCAGACAACATCCTCAGCCTTTAACAGCGGGCGATAGTCTTCCAGTCTGTGCCCCCAACACACCAATTAATATGTGGAAACCCTAACCCACATCTTGGGGTTAGGATCAATGCCCCTAGAAAAAGACCTCAGAGGACCGGGGATTTAGCTCAGTGGTGCCATGCCTGCCTCCAAGGAGCAAGGTCCTGAGTTAAGTCCTCAGTGCTGGAAAAAAAAAAGAAAAGAAAAAGACCTCAGCCACAGGGATGGAACTGGAGGATATTCTGTGAAGCAAAATAAGCCAGGTACAGAAAGACAAAAACTCCATGTTCTTATTCATATGTAGAAGCTAAAAGAACTTAACATAGTTGAGAGCAGAAGTGTTCGCCAGGGGTCAGAAAGGGTAGGGAGGAGAGGGGATAGAGGGAGGTCAGGCAATGGCTACCAAAGCACAGTCAGAGGAGGAAAAAGTGCCAGTGTTCTACAGCACAGGAGAGTCACTAGAGTGCACACAATTGACTATGTGTTTTATAAAGAACTAGAAGGGAGGCGTTCAGAGGTTCCCAACACTAAGAAAGAATAAATATTTAAGGAGGAGGAAATGCTAATCACCCGATCTGATCATTATGCATTGTACATACGAATCAAATCATCGCACTGTAGGGCTGGGGATTTAGCTCAGTGGTTCCGCCACCTGCCTCGAAAGCGCAAGGACCCTAGTTTGATCCCCAGTACCAAAAACAAACAAACAAAAATTGTGCAAATCATTGCACTGTACCTTATAAATAGGTACCGTTGTGGCAATCTTTTACAATGCAAATAAGTAAACAAATAAATACAGTGGACCCTCAAGTTACAACCAGCCTGACATATGAACAAACAATTTGGGTTAATTAGGTTAATGGAAGATTCATCTGCCTCTTGTTGTCTACAGCGTGTACCTGGGTAAACATACAGATCTCAGCTGTACTGACTTAGTTACAACCAGCCCTCAGAACTGATCAAGTTTGTAAGTCAAGGGTCCACTGTATATTACTCTGAAAGAGAGAGGGAGGAGAGGGGAGGGAGGGGGGGAAGAGAGGGAAGGAAAGGAAAGGAAAGAGGGACCTAGGCTGGGGCTGTAGCTGTGTGGTAGAACACTTGCATAGCATATACAAGACCCTGGATCCCTAGCACTGAAACAAAGGTCTCGAAGACTCCGGCACGCCTTCCACGATATGAGGCCACAGCAGA